CACAGTTGCCTTTGAGTTGAGCCTGGAGGTGAATGCAACTGGTTCATTTCACGAGATTTTATACTGAACTACTGCTCATATACTGTAGGAGTATAGCAACATATCTGTGAACTGGACTGAGAAGAATTATGGATTTGATGAAGAGTTGGTATTAAGATCATAGACTCCATACAAGGATGGACAACATGACAGAGCCTCCATCCCGCAGACTCCGAATCCAACTGTGAAAGATGGCAGTGTTTATATCCAGGATATTTTGGCTTCATTTCTGGACAGTGGGAGGAAGAGGAGATGCATTGTCCATACGTGTATATGGTTAAATATAAAAGGTACACCCATAGGGAAAATTTGAGAGCAGGTTGCACTAATGACAGTTGGATGTCACATGAAGTAGAATCAGATGGCAAATCAATATAAGGTAGAATTTCAAACTGTTTCTAATTGTGTCATTAGAAATGGTAATTTTACACCAGGGGAAGCCAACACGAAAATGAAACAGCTTTGCAAACACAATGCAGCTGCTTCTTCATATTTGCAATTTTAATTGCAGGCTCTGTTCCACCAACGCTGCTTTGAACGAATGTAACAAAAAAATATATAAAACAACAAAGGGACTATTGTGCCTTAATATAAATCCTCAAACATGAACAGGGGTTCACAACACGACTTACAGTATCTCCTAGAGTTTCCAGGGCCTGCAGCAAATTTCCATATTAGGTGAGTCAGTTGTTTACCGCAGGAGCTGTGAATAAAAACCTTTAGACGCTGTCAGTCAGTAGCTACTAAAGATGTTCTACCAGACACAAAGAACATGATGCACAGGACTGTAAGGATTATATTGTAAGGATATAATGCGCTGATACACAAGTCTGCTCATGCAAGTCAGGATCTGTAGATTGATATGCATTGATCCGTTCATTGGTCACATAAATTCATTGGAGACTGTGATTTATTCTCTGTCTTTAATTGTCTGTCTCTCTCTTCTCTCTGATAATCTCATGATCCTCATTCTTTGGACTCGGTCACATGAGTACGCAAGTGTCAGATCATTTATTTCATGGTTAGACTGAAGGTGGAGGACGTTGTTATCACATCACTGCTGACATTAGCCGTCAGCCTCTCACCCTCTCCTCTGACGTCTTCACAGAGTGGACGACCTCTCTCTCTGGCAGTAAAATACAAACTCTTCCCACATCTCTGCGAACAGACACTCCTCAAATTACAATTTGGGTCACTAGGTTTCAAGCTCCTCTCCGCTTTGTCTTTAGGCTCATCAGCTGTGCTATTTTAGATGATAAGAGATAGACCGAACACTCAACCTCACTCTGCTTCCTTACCTGCACACTGTGCAAAGATCGCTCCACGCTGGGCATGTTACATACCAAGACAAATCTGATCCCAGTGGGATTAAGCCAATAATACTCCGGAGTAAACTAAAAAATGCTGAGGTGTTTTTTTCCCCCGGCAGCTTCTGTAACTGCTGAGTCTGTGAATATTCCAGCAGTGAGCTGAGTGCTTTACTGTCACACTGAAGCCCATTAAAACTCACAAATGAAATGTTCCAGAACACGTTTATTATTACCAATTCTGAAGCAATCACTCATGAATTATGCACAACTGATAGAACTCTGTACAGTGATTCGATATCAGCACAATGAGACTCAAAATATTCACCAACAATGATGACGATGCTGAAGATTTCAATGACTGTGACAGTTTTTGATGGAAAAAAGTTTATACGTGTAAGATATTCATTCATTCTGTGAAGTTCACACACAACATATCAACACATTTTTTATTTTGTTGACCATTAAATTCCCTGATGTTTGTTGTTGGATCAACATATATTATATCACAGCACCCTTGATATTACAAAACACTTCCATGAACATGCACTGGATTGTCAGTCAGTTGGCTTTAGGGGAATAATATGACAGTTTGGGGAAATGTGCTCATTCGCATTTTTGCTGAGCTAAAAGTAATAAGGTTAATTAGCATAGCGTAGCTAAGCATAGCTTAGCATAGTTTAGCTCAGCAGAAAGACTGGAAGCTGTTTAAAGGAGGATTGTGTTACCTTTAGACAGAGCAAAGTATAGAGAATATACAGTATAAAGGTGGATGTCATGACAGCTCCCACAGGGTGAAAGTAAAGCATCTTGCTCACCCCCTGGTGGCTGGGTGAAGTGTAGGTAGTGAATCCTGCTTAATCCATGTTAGTGGATGGGACATGGATCAAAAAACTCAAGGTACATGTTAAATACATTTTTCTCATTTTATGTCGTTATCATCATATAAAGATGCATCATCCATCATTACGTACAATCTTTGTGACAAAGCCACGTTAGGAAGCTCAAACTCCAGCTTAATATTTATCGTACAAACATATAGAAGGGCTTCATCTTTTTCACGCCAAGAGAGTGAATATGCATATTCCTCAAAATGTCAACCTATTCCCTTAAAATCAAAGTTACTGTAAAACAGCCACAAAACAATAAACCTGTTGCCAATTAATTAACTATCTAACTAACTAACTAATGTATCTCTCAAGACTTCTCTCTATGTGGTGGGGAGTGGTCTCGCCAAAAAATTAGTGTCAAACTATAAAACATATGACAGTTTGGGGAAATGTGCTTAGTCACATCATTGCTGAGGTGGTGGATGTAAACAGCCGATGTAAAAAACATTATTAGTATGCAGGAAGTTACTGCATTGCACTTTTATTGAGAAGTTTTCCCCCTTATTGACAGTGTTTATGCTAAATTAGGCTAATTGCCTCTTTGTTGGAGCCTCGTACATAAAGGTAGGGTTGGTGATTTGTTTCTTAAACAACTTTCTTTCTTATTTGCCTGCCTGTGCTCTCACTGTGCATGACCAGAGTCTTCAGCTGTAGAGACATCCTCCACTGAAGAACAGAAGATAGCCAGAGGTTCAAAAGTCGGCTTCAAGAAGTTGTCAGGCAGTGCACATTCATAGGGGCATGACTTCGGCAAGAGGGTCAAAGTTTTGCCAACCCTAGCTTTAACGGACGAATGTGACAGTAGTATATCAATCTTTTTATCTAAATCTCAGCAAATGAGCACATTTTCTAAAATGTCAAACTATTCCTTTAATGGGCACTTTATGGTAAACAGGACACAGTTTTGTATCATGTTGAACTATAGGAATACAATTTGTATATTAACAAAACAAAAACAATTTTGGGCAGGCAATGGCAAGACAACAGAACTTTGCCCTTTTTGTTGATGCAGTTGATGAATCATTTCCACCTCAAAGGCCTGTCGATAATCAGAGAAATTATTGAAATGCAAACATTTTAAACATGAATAAAAATATACCTATTAAACAATGTGAAATGCCCATCAGCCTCATGCATATAATCATTATATTGTCAAATTGTACAATACAGATTTCCAAACAGTACACAAGACTTATAGCTGACACACAGAATTTCATATTACAAATACATCATACCCTGAAAAGATATAGGCTGGCACAGCATGAGGGTGTGCTTTAATCATTATGCTTTTCATTCTTAATCTCTATGTTTGCCATTCCATTCATTTAGTCATCATTACTGATTGAATAAATATACAGATTATTATCTTTAATTAACATTTACTAAGAAACAAGCGATAATATAAAATACCTCAAATAAAACTTGTAGAAAATTAATCTTGTCTGACACATGGCAGAATGCAAATGGCTCACGTGGTAACTGATAAAGTGCATCTTTGATTGAGGCAGATTAATATCACAAAAGACTGAATGTAGATGCTCAATAGTGTGTGTGACACTATGGAATCAGATCCATGGGGACTGTTCCTGTATCCAAAACATAACAGGAGACAGTAGCAAGATTTCTAAACTCATAAATAACACATTGAGTTGAAAAAACCCTTGAATGAACCGTTATGATTATCATGGTTGTCAGTGCACCTTCTGGAGAGACTATGGGATTGATCCTGAATTTATTGGATAAGCCTCGTCATTTGTAAATCTTCAGGACAGAGGTTTGTTTCCAGACTGAGGCAGGATGAAGAGGACAGGATGTAGATTGTTGCGGCAGTAGAGTTGCTACAAATACCTGCAGTTTATTTAGAAAGTGTCTCTTTTCCTTCTTTCTACAGTATGTGTGTTTGGTCAGATCCTGAAAGCTGTTTCATCATGCCGTGCATAGAAACTGGTTTCTATGAGCAGAGATAAATGTGGATGGAGGTCAAAATTTAAATACTATTGAGACACAAAGTTTTGCAATAATTTCATGTTCAATTACTTATTTTGAAAAAAGATTTGCGTGGAGTTTCCAATTAAAATAAAGAAATTGTGACATTTTCAGAAATAGGCTCATTTAAATTTCTTGCCGAGAGATAAACTCCAGATTGAGATGACTCTCAGGGATGCACAGTTTTTTGTTACCTTTAGACAGAGCATAGCGTAGAGAATTTATAAAGATGGACGACATGACAGCTCCCCCAAAGTGAAGCCAAAGCATCTTGATCAACCCCTGGTGGCTGGCTGAGGTGTAGGTAGTAAATCCTGCCTATTCTATGTCAGTGGATGGGACATGGTACATGTTAAATACATTTTTATTCAATTTCTGTCATTTTAGGTAGTTATCCTCACACTGGTAAATCATATATTAAGGTGAAACATAATGTTTGACAGCTGGGGCTGACTGCTAATAGAATCAAGTGCATGTAATAAAGGGACCTTGCTACAGTGGCTCCATCCCCTGAACACTGCTGCTTAGACTTCGTTCCAAATCTTCCTCCAAATTTTGGCTTCATTTCTGGAAGTGAAGATGCATCATCCATCATTACATCCAATCTACTGCATGTGACCGAGCCACGTTAGGCAGCCCAAACTCCAGCTTCATATTTACCATACAAACAGAGCGGCTTCTTCTTTTTCTCGCCAAGAGATTGAATATGCACATTCTTCAAACCTATTCCCTTAAAGTCAAACTTACTTGAAAACAGCCACAAAACAATAAACCTGCTGCAGTTGAATTAATTAATGTATCTCTCAAGGCTTCTCGCCATGTGGGGGGGAGTGGTCTCGCTTAAAGAGTAGTGTCACACCCTTCCTGAAGCGATGGTCCCTGACACTGTAGATGATCACATTGCAACAGCTGTTTCCTGTCAGGATCCAGAAGGCAACAAAGGAAAAGTTACACCAGGTGTATCCCACCACGTTCCCGAGCACAAACACTGCGATGGGAGAGAAGGATGCTGTGAAGGCAAACGTCAGTATACCGATCGTCTTGGCAGCTTTAATGTCAGAGAAAGACGGCCTGTGAGGGCAGCCTCCTCCTCCGCGTCCTCCTCCACCCCCTCCATCACTGAGACTCCCCTCTGAGAGCAGTTTGCGTTTTCGGGAGTACTGTCGAATGCTTGTGAAAGACAAAATATTAACTGCTAACGTGCCACCAAGCAGCGTGAAGTCAAACGCTGGGAACAGCAGCAAAATGTTGGCATCAGGTGGCAGCTGGCCTCCAAGCAATAGAGGTGTGTAGTTACACATACGACTACACTCATTGTACTCCAGAGTGAAGTTACTGCTGAAGATGAGTGGTGCGAGAGCCAGCAGGAAGCTAGCACCCCAAGAGAGAAGGATAAGGAGCAGAGTCCGTCTCCGAGTCACCAAGGCGTCCTTGTGGAGCGGCCACAGGATGGCCACGCTTCGCTCCAACGTCATGAGGAAGATGGTGCTAATGGAGACAAAAGTGCATCCAGCAAACACGGGGCCAATCAGCATGCAGGGCTGCCAGGGGCTCACTATTCCACCGAGGGAGGAGGAGGCCGGGGAAGTGGAACTACCCTGGTACCAAATGGGAAGAGAGCTCGTCACCATTAGAGAGATTTCAGTGTAGACGGAGAAAGGGACGACGAGGACACCGACCATCATGTCTGCTATGGCCAAAGAGACTGTAGAGAGAGAAGACACAAGAAGAAAAGGAAGATGTCAAGGGATCGCCTCCAGTTATTGACAATTGTAGTAATGCATGTGAATAATTTTCCAACTAACTCAGAGTATTAGATACAGTTGTGTTGTGGGACAAAAAGAGTGAGAACTTTAGTTATACTGGCATAATTTTAAATAAATAAGTTACTGTATTACTGAGACTTTGTCATAAGACCTCAGCAAGTTATTGGTATAGGCAGGTTGATCTTCTTCCTCTTAAACAATTAATTAATTGATTAAAATAATTTAAAAAAATATTTTTAATACAATTACTTTTAATATAGTTATATAATCATTTGAGGAAAAGGGATAATGGTGCAGGTTATCACTATATACATAAGCATATCAACGCAGATTTATATCTTCTCATATGAAAATGTTGACATTAAAAAATGGTTAGTAATATGGTTTACAATATTTACCTTTCAAGTATCCCTGTGGTGTTCTCGACTGCCTTGTTTGCACAAAGACAGTAAGCGTGACCACATTTCCAACCACGATGGCAAACGCCAGGCTGACCATGAACACCACTGCCAGTGTACGATTGAGAAACCCACAGCAACAGAGGGTACAGAGAGGAGCCAGTGATTGCCCTGACCCGGGTCCTGCCTGAGCCGCTGCGCTCAGGTTGAAGGGGCCATCTGTGATCGGCAGCAGAACCGCTGTGCTCCCTGGGATGCTGACGTTGTGAAGCTGAGCAGTCATGGCCCAGGAGAGACTGAGTGGTTTATCCCTTGGATGTGTTGGTGGTTGGGCTTCTCAGGATGTCCTGTGCTGAGGAACTGTCCTGTTGAATGAACACATTTAAATCACATGGTAAAAAACTAGAGAAATGAGACAGACAGTAATAAGCTAAACCCACATTTAGCTACTACAAGTATTCAGAGACAAAATATTTCTATCATCCACCTTAATGTTCACATCCTTCATCCAAAAAAAAAGCAGATATCTAAATACTGTTATGTCATATGTAATAATGGGAGTTGATAACACTTGACAATGTGGGTTACATACATATTCAGTGGATAGTGTGTAAATCTGCCAATATATCAATAAATATCATCTGTATAACAATTAATATAATAATAATACATACAGTGGTAATTAGGACATAATTCCCTGAAGCCACTATTACCAAGCCACAATGCAGACTATATTACTTTCTTTGCATAAGTCTATAAACCTAGCTGCTGTTTAAAACGGTGCTACATGTACATGTCATGGCTGCACATAGATGATTGTTAAAAAATACAATTTATTGAATGTTTTTTTTTATTTTAATTTTTTTAATTTATCATATATCAAGCCCATAATTCAATGATAGTTCGGATGATGTGGAAGGCTAAATATGTGCAGACTTGAAAACATATGTGTAGTAGTTATTTACCTCCACCTGTAGTGGTAAGCGAGTGTGTACAGTGATTTTGTTTTACATGTGTGTTGTAGTTACATGATGTCTCTCTGTGCTCCAACACTGTTGGGAGCACCTCAATGCTGTCAGTACCCATGCAGAAACTCTAGGTTCAGTACTAAATGTCCCTCTCAGCTGACAACCAAATATGCAGGTCCTTCAATCATTTATGCTGTTCACTGGGCTGGAGAGCAGGAAGGTGCACATGTCCAACCAAACAAAGGGTAACAGGAGTGGACATATTCAGATCAGAGCAAAACCAAACTAAAGCCCATGTTCTTACCATGGCTTTGAAACACAATCAAAGTAAGGTCACAGACTTGAAAACATCTGGTACCAGCAGTGAATTAGCCTCCGAATAATGAGAACTTGACGAGCAGAGAGAAAAACCTCCTGCTCGTTGAAAGGACCGGTGTGTTTGATTCAGGGCAGAAAGTCTGATGATGTCCATCATTATGTTTTCATCAGCTATAATTACCTGAAACTTACAATTATTGTTTTTATGAGCCTTTTGTATTGACTAATGGAACCACAGACATTGACATGATAGCTCCCAAAAGTAAAACCAAAACACTGGCTACAATTGCAATTGCAAACTGCAACCTCACCACTGGATGCCACTTCACACTGGTCTAACTTTGATTTTCAACCAAACATCCTTCCACAAATTAAATTCAAGTATGCTGATAGTAAAACATCAATTATTTTCTTAATAAAATGGTAAGGCATATTAAAAAATAATCATCTAGGGCCTATAGAAATACTCATTTCCCAGTTTTCATGCTTTACTTTACTGACATTTTGACTCTGATCAACTGATTATTGACCTTTGATTTAAACAGCATCCCACAAAAAGTACTGGAGACATTTGCCCCAAAATTCTCGGTCTACAGCTTCTCAGATGATGCCTCTGGCACCAGACTCCAGCTTGCTCACTCTTATCAGTCCACGGTCTTGAAATCTGCACACAGTATGAATCTCAAATAGCCATGATTCTGCCTCAGGTGGGAATATGGCTCAGGCAGAGAGACTGTCGGTGACTATCTGATTGCCTGATTGATGCTATTGTTTGCAGCTTCTATACCATGCTGTACTGTTGGCTTGGTATTTACTCTGCATCATACCAGCTTTCTTAGAGGATCGTGTGAAATTATGTGAGACTCTAAGGGACATCTGTGTACCATATCTATTTAGAGCACGCCTCTCAAGCATACTTAAGTGCAGGCACATGAGCTTCCCAGGAATTAACCCTTGAATGTTGTAAATGTTTGCTGTATTGCATCATAGTTGCACAATTATCACAAAATGATTTTATATTACTTTTCCTTTTTATGCCTTACAAAGAAACAACTTAATTAGTGGGGAAGTATTGAGGTCATAAGCCCTAACTTTGCTTCAAACAGCTTGTAAATTTGATGAAGGTGACATCGCTTGTATTTAGATCCAACTCCTTTTTTTAACTGAGCTTATTTCAGACATGCACTGGAGTGACTGTAAGTGAGAACGCAAATGTCCAAATCAGAGGTTTTGGCCAAACTCTGGAGTTTTTCCCATCAACCCCCTTGTAACAACTCCGGAGAATGTCTGAATGTTTCACACCTGAAAGGGAAAGTGGAAAATATACAAACTTTTGGAATTTGGAAAGAAAAGTATAGTGTCATTTAAGCTTTGTTTTATTTTTTTTATCCGTTGTTGGTCCTGAGCAGGGAGAGAACTGTGGGGTTTTGGTCACATGCATTGCTTTTCTCAAATGCTACCAGAAATGTATGTGATGACAGTGGAGATGAAAATATTTTTAGTTGAACCTCATCAAGGAGCATTTTGCCTTTACCTTGACTGAAGATGACAAGCGGAAGTGTTCCCTGAGGCAAGACCTCAGGGATAGTGAGACAAACAGCTGACAGCAAAGACAGTGCACGTGCACACACACACACACACTGAGGGGTGGTGTCTGGGTACAACATGCAGGAGGCAGGACATAATGAATAAATTCTGCTGTGGAAATCATGTGTTGTTATTTGCAGCACATGAGCAATGGCGTCTTTACAAGTTGACATCTTCGTCTGCCTCCCCCTCATGCGTTGCACCTCCTTCTAGACATTTATCAGAGATATTTGTATTGTTTTTTGTTTTTTTCAGTTTAACATCCGCCTGTTAAATGGTGCTGGCTGGTAAAGTTCTGCAAAATGTCTGAAGCAACTGACGTATGCGTTCTCACATTCACCCCATTTCTGAAAGCAGCTTCATTTGTAAAAGACTTTTAATTAAACTGACCTCCATGTGATCAACAACACTAAAGCGTCAGTGCAGTGTATTTGAGGAGGTTTCAGAATAAGTGCAAAGTCTGTTCTTAGGAACAAAGTAAAAAGAGATTGGGTAAAGAACTGTGCAGTAAGTGCAGGTAAGGTTGTAAGGAGAGGAGCTGCTCTCTCACGAAATGACTCTTCAAGCGCTTCTTGGAGACAGAGCGAAGCAGCTGTTCTGATAGCATTTAGTAGCTTGTTCCACAATCTGGGAATCACAATCCAGTTTAGAGGGACACAGTGGCAGAGATGGAAGATAAGCCTGAATAATCAAATTCATGGGTGCAATAAACTCTTTGTTAGGAAGCAGTAGAATCTTTAGTTTGATTGAAAAGACCATGCATATCCGGTGAAGGTCAATGAACGTGTCCTTTTAGGAAGATCGAAAAGCAGATGCACCACCACATTCATTAGAATACATTATCTTGGAAACAGGAATGCTTGGATGTGCTTTTGTGCTAATCCATCAACTAGATGCTGAGGTATTCTGAATACCTGGATCATTGTCAATACCCGAATACCACCTCTTTTCAATTAATCAAACCTGTGACCTGATGGGGATGCCAGAGGACAAGTCATTAGAATTCATCCTTTATGAACCTGGAATTTCAATTTCAAGGCAATTTCAATAATTGTCAAGATATTGATCAGTTAAACAGCAGTGGTCAACCTCATGGGGGCACTAGAGGAAGAGTTAGGGAATCCTCAAGTAAGTTTGATTCATCTATGTGGGACTGTGTATATTTCAACTAAATTTCATGTCAATCAATCCCAGTTGTCGAACTAGCATGAATTGGGCACTTGAGAAATTTCTGTCTTTATGTGAATGGACTAATTTACCAGCAGGTCCTGCATGGACATCTTTAGAGTCATTCACGTTGTGCCATGCAGGTCTTTCTAACCCAGATCAGTCGAGGCAGATGGCCGCCAGCATTGAGTCTGGCTCTGTTAGAGGTTTTTTCCAGTTAATAAAGGCTTGTTTCTCTCCGTAGTCGACATAGTGCTGCTTATTGTGGGAACTGTTGGGTTTCTCTATCATTTTTAATTTTGAGATAATGTATGTTATGATTTGGCGCTACACAAATAAAATTTAATTGAACTGGTAATTCACAGAATACAATGCACAAATAAATCCATGCCTGAACTGGGGATCCTTTAATGACCCTTTGTCAGGAGACAATTGTGCTGGAAAAGCTGCATTTCACATTGTTGTTCATGCTTGCAGGGAATTTTCTCTGACAGCGCTGCATCCTTGAGTGACAGGTTGGACATATGTAGGAACACTGTAGGGGCTTGGTCAGGGTTCTCAGGCCAGGTCGCCCAATGCACAGAAGGGTTATGTGCAGTAATAATGGACAGGCTTGCACCGACCGCCTGAGGCCGTCTGCCACAGCACAAGAGCAGAGAGACAACTTCCTTTTCACATCTTGACTTGTCATTCTGTCTGGATTCATTTCCCTTATGGTGGTCAGAAAAGTGCTCGAGCAACATATTCATACACACACAAACACAGATACAAGCACATAGTGTTACTCTCTGGTGATGGTTATCCTATCTTTTCCTGTATTAGTATCTTCGCTTACACATTTTCTTGTTCCTTGGCAACATGATTTTTTGCTACAATTCTGCTTCACACTCATATTCACATCTCGGTCTCGATTTTTTATTTTTAAAATGTAATTTCACTGCAGTAATTATAGCATTCATGGGGAATTTTCAACCCAGCATTAATAAAAAACACTTTTTACTTCAGAACATATAATATAAAAACAAATATTTTCAATATTCTAAACTGGATCCCACCAATCAGATATTCTGTTAATAGTTTGTAAGAAAATACATTTTAATGCAAGGAAAGAAGTATAGGAAACAAGCAGCCAGCAAATTTGCATTTTGTGGAAACTTGGTCTATAATTACTTTTTTTAGTTACCCACTACATATTGAATAATCAAGGTAATATGAGTATATATATGTCCTCTTGCTATTAGACATGAAAAGGTCTCAATATGTGCAGCATGTTATTAAAAAAAACTAATAATAACTTTTAATATACATTTTAGTACCCCATAGTATAAATTAAAAGGGGTGAACAAGTACCAATGTATTATACAGTCCACAAACACTGTAGCTACATAATAATTACAATGAAGTATTTGTGGAAAACTCTCAGTATTTAAATACATAAATATAACCTATATAAAACTATAATCTGCCTTAAAGACAAAGCTATATATACAGAGACACCCTTCTTTCAAAGTGAGAGGTCTAATGCACTGTTCTCCAGCAACAACAATAATGCACAAAAAATCATTCAGTAAAAATAAGTATTCAAGTCTACAAATATTTGAAGTCTATTTCAGTAAAACAAAATCATGAACGTGCTCTAAAATTATTAGAAAATATTTTTCTCTTGTGCGTACGTACAAAAACCCAATAAGTATTTCCTTAAGGCAATATGTGCACAGAATAATTGTTGAGTTGTAAACTGTATTCTGAACAGATTTTTTTGAACTGATTGTTGAAACTTAATGTGTGGCCAATGCATGTTTGAGTGTGTGTGTATGTGGTGTCAACAGTGTCTAAATTACATGCTGCTAATGGACATCACACCCACCTCAGTTTATTCAGTCAGCTGCTGCATGACTGAATGATCAGACACAGAGCAGGAATCCATAGGTTCAATCATTAAAGTGTATTTAAGTGATTTTAGACATTGAAATAAAAATGTCAAAGGTCAAAGGTTGAAATTTATTTTAATGAAAGTGATCCTCTCATTGAATCACATATAGTGTGACTTACAAACTGAGATTTCAACCTAAGGGTCACAACAATTACATGGACGAAGGACTCAACATTGTCAGTATCAATGATTATGTTGCTGCTCTTTGTTACAAACACTTAATATGCTCAATTTTCACAATAGCTTCCTGTTGAACAGTCCCAACAGGAAGCTATTGTACATTGGACATTAAAATTCACAGTAATATTAACAACTACAGTGAAAACTGAAATTAGATGTTTGAGTTGAGTTTGTTTAATTCAAGAGACAACACATTAAAAACATTACTGAGCCCCTGTGTTTAATATGTTCCTGTTACATTTCCATTCACTGGCAGATCAGTGTGTCTCTTGGGAAATAATTGCTCTTTATGCCTCATCTTAATCAAATTTGTTTTAGTATTGTCAGTAATTAACAAATAAATGTGTTCAACGCACCTGGAAAAATGAGTTGGACAAACTTCTAACTATAACATAGAGCATTTTTTACTCCAAACATGAAGCTGAACAAACAGCTACTTTTCAGCTTTTTGAAATCCCAAATATTTGGAAAGTCATATTATTCATAATCATTCATAGTCCAACATGTCCCCTCCATTTCAATCAACACTCAAACAAAAGATTGGAAATAAAACTAAGAAATGTAGAAATCCTTTATCTGCATGTGTTGTTGGTATAACAGAAAACAGCAGACACATAATACCACACATACTACACAAACAAAACATTTAAAAAGAATCAGATGGGAAGATCTTACCTGCATTTCCAGTCATGGACCGTAGAGCAGTTGTGCATAGAGAGGTTGATAAAACCATCCAGTGTTAAAGTGGGTGTTAAATCCGATTAAAATCCTCCAGAGAAGAAGAAAGTGGAGCTGTAGTCGTCTCATCATTCATTCTCCTTAAACACACATTCAGCACAAAGCCTCTCACTCGCTCCAGCTCTCTGTCCCTGTGATTCAGCCTCCCCCTCTCTCCCTCCTCCACCTCCCTCTCTCTCTCTCTCTCTCTCTCTCTCTCTCTCATTCTTTCGAGCGTTTTCCTCCATGCTCACTTCACCGCCCCCCCTCCTATCCACCCCTCACCCTCTGCATGGCTTGCAGTCCTTATCGCATGCACATGCTCTTCCCCCAGAGCTTCAAGGTAAAGTATGGAGCAGCATTGTACTCTCCTCTCTCATCCTTTCCTCCCATGTTTGCCTCCTGATGTGCCCCCCCGACTCATCTTCTCCCCACCCTTGTTCCTCACCCCTCCAAGCATTTCTCAGTGTATTCTTTGTGAACTCTTGCATTCAGTTCACACTTCATTATTTTAAATTGAACTCTTTACACATCTTTACACCTTCAACTTTGCACAACCTTTTTTCTTCATCTTTCACACTTTGCACCTTACAAGTTTCCAAACTTCTGACATCCTTCTCGCTCCTGCTCTGCATCTTGTAACAGAGATGCAGAATAGAGACAATAATGAAAAAAGAGCCGGAGAGAGATACAGATACTACATTGAACTAATGAGAGGTGACTCTTTTACAGTATGAGTGGGGGTATAATGCATCCATCCTCTCTTGGGCGTTTGAGTCTTTCCGCCGATGGCCTTGGCCTGTGTGCACAGCTTTGACCGTGGCTGGCACACGGGTCATATCCCTCTCTCTCTGTTGCCCCCGGTAGCAGAGACCATAGCACTCAAGTGAGACCCCTGCCCTAGAATCTGATTGGAACCACTCGTCAACACGTTGCAGGACACATTGCTAATTTGCCCTTGCTATGACCCTATCTCCCTGAGCCAGGCTGAACAGTCACTGAACAACAAATGCATTGAAAATAAAATGGAAATCAAAGTTCACATTTCATAAATAAATACTGAAGAAATATGGAGTTCAGAGCTGAGGAGTAAACATCAACACGCGGAGCAGCATTATGTAAGCTGATGCTCAAGGGGTTTGTTAACCTGACAAATAAATAAAAATAAGACATATTCCTTGTTATCGTCAGGGTCATATTAAACACAAACTGCTGCAACCTCTTTGAGACTTCTAGTCTGCACAGTACTGCACAGATTCAACCTGGCTTCTGGTTAATTACATGTAGGATCCCAGTAGCCTGAGTGAGTGGATTTGCAATGCTCCAGCACAGTAAAGTGAGCATCTCTCTGACCTGCTGCCACAACATAATCTTTGGTAGAAGATTACAAGTCATGCTATGAATAATACAACACAGCACAGACAGCAACTTGAACAAATCCTCTCTCAAAGTGACAGTCACTGTGTCATTTACTGTGTGAACAGAATGGGGGGACTCTAAATCTTTATTTACTGCCCCACTCTTTTCATAAATAAGTTCTGGTCAATGTATTGCGTCATCAAGCTTCATTGTGTAGAACAATGTCTGTGCACTCTACACTGGAAGACTTCACTTTCATCAACTGGAGGCAAAATGTTCTTTTTGTGAGTCTATGAGCAGGATATTGTGACATCACAAGTGGATGCCAGTCCTGGGCCCATCAGCAGCTTGCAGAGGTTTGAGGTGATGTTTGCATTACACATACATTGAGAATGGAATTAAGATAAAGAACAATTACATTGAGAAATTTCAATGCAGGATTAAGCATATATGTCATTTTGTAGAATTTCGAATCAGCTAATAGCACCTTTTTCTTGGGGGAAAATTCAGTTTAATTTGTATAGCACCAAATCAAAACATACAGTGTATTGTCTCAAGGCACTTCACATAGTAAGGTGAGATGTTATTATATCACAGAGAAACTCAACAGTTCCCTCTGAGCAAACATGTATGATAATCAATCAAGCACCTTTAATACAGGTTAGTAAACAAATACGAATGCTGACAATGAAATAACAGAAAAAGCTTTGACAATAATAAAGCTATTTTAAGAATTAAAATAAATAGAAAAAATATAAGTTTACAAAATTGGATAAAAAACACAAATATTTAAGGTTGGATAAGATTGAATAAAATTTAAAACATAGATGCAATAAATGAATGTCCATAAGTCAAAAGCCAGGTTGAAAAGGTGAGAAGAGAGAGGATTTTAACACTGAAGAGAAATAAAATCTAAAAACTAAATAAAAATGAAATAAAAACTAAAAAATCCAGCAGTATCACAAAGCCACAGATAATTATTCAAACTTTTATTATAAGTATAGTCTGTATTTTAACACAAGCATATAGGATGTGAGGGTGCAGTCAAAGGAGAAGTTGCACTATTGGCTCCTCATGCTAACAAGCTGACAATGTCATTGCTAACTTGCTGATTTGTATTGATTAGACTATAATGTTTCCCATGTTCACCATATTAGTTTTAGCATACAAACGTTTGCTATCATTACAAAACACAAAGTACAGTTTGATTTTGCAGGACTGAGAGGAACATGAGAGGTTTCTTGTGATGTATTATGTCTAGTGTCAGGCTATCAGACATTATTGATTACTGATTGACATTGCCTTCACTTGGGCTTAAGTTAATATCTTTTTAGTAACTGTTTAGTGTGCTCTGAAAATATGTGTTCATGATATAATCTGCTCCTAAACACTATTATTGTGACTGTGTGTTATGGCCCCGTGGACGAGGTTGAAGTGCTGACAGAGAGAAGAGAGGGGCTTGTTAAGTAAACAGCTTCTGTGTCTGATCCAGTTAAGATTGCACTCGCCCCAGGTCACTTAATACAGCTTACAGAGTAAAGCCTTAGTAGCACCGCCACCATGAAATCAGTTTGGTTTTCAGTATTTTCATGTCCAATTACATGCTTAAATGGATTACCCTCAGGAAATCATTTCTCAGAGTTCGCAAGAACCGCGATCAATCTCCTTCAACAATGAAACGAACTTTGAAGTCAAAGATAGGAATCTGAAACATCTCTCTTTGGGCTTGTTAGAAGTGGGACCATGTCTTACTGATGGCATGCATGGGAAAATCAGGCTTTACATGTCAGTACTCTTGTACATATTGTTACAATATTTACATTCACTCTGCAAACTTTCTCTCTGTGCACATAGGTGATAATAACGGCACCATGTTTCTTGTTAATTTGTCTATTTGGGTATTTTTACCTGCAAAGTATGGCACCATCCATCCTTGTTCTACTTACTGGATCATTTGAGGGTCACGGGGGAGCTGGAGCCAATATGTTCACTTACTTGAACATTTACTGAAAACCAGCAGAAAAATTCAACAGCGCAAATTAAAACCCCAACATTTTTTTTAGGATTGCAGAGTCTGTAGTTTTATTAAACCATTGTATTGCATGCTAACACATTGTCTTTGATGACTGTTCTGCATCTCTACGAGCAGTACTTTCGAATAATGCAAAGTGATATAATTCAAAGTCAAGGCAGCAAACTCAATAAAAAATCTTATCTTAGTCACAAACCTCTGGAGCCTCACTGTGACCTCTTGTAAATAACCAAAGCAGTAATCCTGGACTTTCCTCCCCGCAGCACAGTTTACACTGTTTACTGCCAGGAAGTTGATGAAATATTGTGTTTGTGTTCCCTGCCGAGAAATTTAAAGAGGACGCTTGTGCGTTATTTACTGTAAAAACAAATTGAATAGCACATTGTGTCGCAATATCATTATGTACTCATCTGTGATAAATACAAATCAGTCAGCATTGTTTTCCTTTTGTAAATGATGACAAAAAACTATGAAGAAAGCAGTATGAGCTGACAGTCGTGCTTTGCAAAACTGAAACAAACTGACTCTTGAAATGTGTTCACTTTACTCACGTCACATGATTTAAAATATATACTGTTTTTTTTACACCATATGATCAAACTGTTGAAATCGATAAATGCAAATATGTCAATGTTTTGCTGTCGTATTTTTACAATGTTATTTTATATTGAGCTTAATACCTTCCAGAAGCCTTTGTAGGTGCTACACATTTTAATCACAGATAAATGTCCTGTTTCCTGAACCAGACTGTTGACTTTAGAGATTTCATAATGTTTCATTTCAGAGTCTGGGAATCAATATTCTCCGGCCTTGACATTATGGGAATTTTGGGGACATTTTCAGGGCTCTGAGCCTTTATAAACACTCCCAGCTCCAAAATGCACAACACACTCAAGAGCAGAGATTAAAACCAGTCACTGCTACAAAGAGGAATATTATCAAAAAAATGCGGTAAGTTAATATATTCTGACATAAAGTTTCCAATGATTTACCCAGTGATGTTTGGTGAGCTAATATAAATTATTGGCTGAATATTCAACTCAAATTTTTTTATCCAGTAGTGGACCGGGTTTTATGGTTCGAAATGATAAGGAAGAGCAGAGCGATTTAGCGTTTGTTGATCATGTGTCTGTTGTTGTTTGAAGGTTTTCTCTGACTGCGCTCCTCCTGGCAGCACTGGCCTCTCTGGCAGACGTGTCTCATGCTGAGGAAAGAATTGATCGCTCTATGTCAGGTAACACACAGCAACATTTACACAAACAGTCAAACATGCCTGCTCTGATAAACACCGTGTCTTCATTTAAAACCATGGTTTTTGCATCAATATTGCATGAATATGATAAATATAGACAATAAAACAATTATTTTCGAGAACTCAATTTAACCAGCAGAGCAAGTACAAACCTACAGCCATTGTAACAGTGGAGGTTTAGCATATATGCCTGAGCAATGAGAGTTATATGCTAATATCAGCATGCTAACAAAATCACAATTACAATGCCAGCATGCTGATTTATAGCTGGTATATATTAGTCTAATTTATGGGTAAGCAAATGAAAAGTTGTCATTTATTTTGCAGCTATTTTGTCCTAATTAGTTCATCTATTTAGAATGTTTCAAAAGTTAAAAAAAAGAACAGTAAAAGTAAATAAACAAGATAAAATCATTGAAAAGTAAAGAAGATGAAAATATCAGACTAAAAGAGGACAACGAGTTTGGCTGCCTCAGATCATCAAGTGTACAGCTGTAAACAGAAGACCTTATAAGTTTGGCCTGTGGATGGCGCTCTGTGAGAAGTGAAAGGATTTTTTAAAATTGCCCTCTGGGCAAATGAATGGCAAACATTTCATCACAACCCATTCAATAATTGTGTATCTTCAAATACTGTCTATGTGTATACCAGAGCACATTGTCTCTCACTCTCATAATAATGTATTTATTTCTTAGATTCATTTTGCCAAATAACTAAACTGTCATATTCGTAGGAAGATTATTGAAACATTGACAAAAACACATCTCACGAAGTCTAACAGAGTGCTTGTCCATAGAATGCATCCCAACATTTATCCATCTAAACAGCTGCCGTCCACCTCAGGACATGATCAAGTGGATCAGAGTGACCACAGGCTCCATCTCTCTGATGTCCACTGCTGTTTAACACTAATACCTTCTAGACAGTTGCTGTTCAGAAAGATAACTCCAGTATGAAATGACATGGCTGTCCTGCAGAATATCTGAGGTCTGGGCTATTACAGCTCATTTCAGATACTGATCTTCATTTGGTTCTGAAGCTACAGAATCTGACAGAACATGTCTGACAGCAATTTTTTAAAAAATTTTTTAACAGTCCTTAAAAAAACAGAGAAACCGATAAATCAGAGTCCACTGAGAAATATGACTTAACTGACTGGAGGCAGGAATATATTTTTCAGTAATAAGATAAGCAGATAAGTAACAGAAGCACTGAATCCATTTTCTGTTCATGCAATTTATGTAGTGCATTAATCTCATTCATTTCATTGTATGTGTAAGTCATTGTCCAGTTTGTTGAATACACTGATCGATCAAGTCACATAAAATCATTAATGATCAATAAACCTTGTAATTATTCATCATTAAAGATCATGAGCAGTTTGCAGAGTGATGCCGTCCTTGTACTTAAGATCTTGCCACTACTTTGATCTCATGAAGTAGTTCTCATGGAAAGTCACCCACACCAGTCACACGCATCAGAGCTTGATGATGCATATATTAGAGACATGAAAGAGATGCATTCACCCAAGAAAGCTTCATTTTAATGGCCGATCCCCAGAAGCAATACACAACATGCTTTAACATCTGAAGTAAATAGTCAAAGGATAGGAAATCATAGTTTACAATATCTGTTGTGGAAAATGAATAATATTTCTGTGTAGAGTAAATAGTAGGGGCACTAATATTGATCCTTGTGAAACACCATTATCTAACATTCTCGGAATTGATTTCCAGAAAGACAAGATTTTAACCAGCTACAAGCAATCAAAAGTCTTGAAACGGAAAATAAAAGAAGTTGAAAGATATACACTGTAGTGTATAAATTACAAATGCATTATTCATTTTCCAGCCTCCAGATTTGCATCACACCGTTCCAGGCGAATGGTTGGGGGATTTCTGGCCCCTCACGTTCCCTGGCAGGTCATGGTGTACCTTGCTGACAGCGTGATGGACGGAGGCTATGCAGGTGGTGCTCTCATTTCTGACCGATGGGTTTTGACGGCTGGCAGGAACCTGTTTGTCAGGAAGAGTCGAGAGGACATTCAGGGAAAAGATCCCATAATCCCCAAAGTGTACGTGGGAATCTCACAACTGGAAAAAGGTGGTGACTCTAAAGGGGTCGCAGTAGAGAAGGTGGGTAAATACTAAGAGTTTTGGCTTTTTTAGTAAAAAAACAGATGCCAGATTAATAACTGAAACACTTACCTTCCTCCCCGGCAGGTTGTTCTTCATCCAGGCTTCCAGAACCGCTCTGACTGGGACAACGACTTGGCTCTGATCCAGCTGAAGGAGCCTGTGGTTATGAGCGATAAAGTGACCCCAATCCCCCTGCCGGAGAGAGGACAGGACCTGAACAACGCCATGGGAGGGTCAGGGGTCATCACCGGCTGGGGCTGGGGGATCAACTTCACCCCTGCTAAGTCACTGAAATACCTCATACTCCCTCTAGCTGATCATTCTCAATGTAAAGCAGAATATGAACATATATCTTTCACTCCAGATGTAGACGACAACATGTTCTGCACAGCGGCTATTAATTCTGGGGAAAATGTTTGTTTTGGGGATGCAGGGGGTGCTCTGGCCGTCAATGACACAGAAACCGGAGACATTTATGCTGCAGGGATCCTTTCCTATGACAAATCCTGCAGCAGATACAACTACGGAGTTTATATGAAGATTTCCTCGTACTTACCCTGGATTCACAGTGTCATCAGGGGAGACACAGAGAAATCATCTGCTCTGCGCTCCGATGCAATGTCCAAAATGTACAAGTGGCAGCCGTAGAGCTTCAGGCTTTGTTCTTTTGAATTTTGTAAAGAAATAAATGTGAATTTTAAACAGTGAATTTTATTAAATAGACCATTCATAATGCAACTACTGCTGTCTTCTGTCTCTTAAATGTTGTGATAGACAAAAGTGAAAAGGGTAGACTTGTTGACAATATACAT